GTGTCATTTTATAATCATACGTGTCATTTTATAATTATTTTTAAAATCATGTGTCAGACGTTTGTGATACACACACAATTGAGTAGTAAAAAATGTGTTTAAAATGTTGTGTTTCAATGGGTTCAGGGGTTCAGATGACAAAGGGACAAGTAGAAGGGTTCACAATACAAACACATACAAGTACAAGGGTCCCCCAGGCCATTTTGCCAAAAAAAAAGAAGAACATTAGTCTCCCATGATCAATTCCAACTTTATTATCGACTAGGCTGTCCCTTGAATGCTAACTCGCGCTATCAGAAATTGCAAAGGATAATAATATGGATAGTCGGTGACTCGGTATACACCATTATAGACATATTATACATTTGTCGTCTATATTTAGTTTAAGCATTTGAATGTCTATATCATGTACTTTTCTTGAAAATGTACCGTAATTTTTATTTTATTACTTTTTCTGATCTAAACGACATACAATACAGTACTTAATCTGATATAGATAGACAGTAGCAGGAACTATATGAGGGATTCCCCTAAAATTGACTTAAAAGAGTAACACATTAATGCATTTAAATCTCGCAAGAGAAAGAATTGTCTGCTCCTTATCAGTTCGAAATTCTTCTTTTGTTTCTTTCTTTCTCAGCTCGAACATTTTCAGAAAGAATCACCATGTCCGAAATGCTACCATCAGAAGAAATGATGAATGAAAAGCAAGAAAATCAAGAATCTGAAATTGATGCAGTTTTATCACCTATCTTCCCTCCTCCACATGAAGATCATCATCCATCACACTTCAACAACGATCTACAAAATGAAGAATCGACAATCTCTGCAGACGAAACAGAGGACCAGAAAGTGACAGGAAAAGGAAAACTCCAAGAATCTGAACTGAAGTATATGTTTTCGAAAGTTGAAGAAAAAGGAAAGCGTTCCATTTCTGAATCATATGAATTGAAGCCCATTAATAAGCCTACATTTCCCAATCTTGAACAAGGAGGACCGTCCGAAAATGAATCGAAGAAAGAAGATGAGTATGATTATGATCTTGATTTAGCAATCTTGAAGTCTATCTATCGTTACTTCTTCAATCACGGGGTAATTCCATATCCTTATTCAGAGAATTTTATCGATTACATCGAGGCATCAATACCCAACTTGAAATTTCATGGCCAGAAATTGGTGACTAAGATCGTTGCGTTAGAGCACCAATTCTTTTCTATTATGGAAATGACTGCAGAAGCGGGACATTACCCTGATAAAATCCACCCTGTTTTTTGTGAAATTTTCTACTTGTCTATGGGTTTATGGGGTTATCCCCACGATTATTACCTAGTTGACAATGTCAATGTAATCACGAGAAACAAAGAGCGAGAAAATGAAGAATCATTCAATCAGTTCTTGGATGAAGAAACCAGAAAGCAAGTAAAATTGCAGGCAGTGAAAAAAGGAAAACGTCCCATGTCGGAATTATATGAAATTCAGCACATTGTGCCTGCATTTTCAAATCCTGGACTAGGAGCTGGAGCTTCCGAAAATGTGGAAGAAGAAGCCTATGATTATGATCAGGATTTGGCGATTTTGAAGTCCATGTATCAGTACTGCTTCAATCATGGTGGCAAAATTCCATATCCGATATCGAGGGAACTGATTAATTACATCGAAGCTTTAG